TCATTTGGGTCTCATCCTTAGTTAGCTCCCATGGCTCCATTCTTCTTTGTTTTCTTTGGTCTCCTAGGCATCTTCCTCTTAAGTGGTGGCAGTACATCAGGACAACTTGTTTTTTCCCATAGGAGGTGGCCATTCACAAGATAGATGATGTACGCATATGCATCTTCATATGTGGATTTCCTGAACCAAGTTGGTATAAAAGTTTTTGGGTCTACATTTGAATAGTTCATTGCTGCAACTGCATGACAACATGGGATGCCACTGATCATCCACTTCCTGCATGTAGCTACATTCTTCATTGTCCAGGTCCACTATGAACTTGTTCCCAATGACTGAAACATGCCTAATCTAAAAAATCCTTCTTGCAAACCAGCTGAAAGAAATGAACATAAATAAGGAACATCAACAATTGGATATGAACATAATTGGGATCCAATATCTTGACAAATTACATTCCTTTATAAGTCTTTTGTTGATCTTTGGACAGACATCAAAATCCATAGATGTCACCTTCGTTCTGTTCATGGCCCATCTTTTCATCAAATACAGTCTAATATCCTCCAGCATGGTGATAATGGGTTTTGCTCTGGCATGAACAATAACATTGTTCACTGATGTTGTTATCTAGGCTATCACACATTGCTTGAGGGATGAACCTACTTCTTGACCAATACCTATTGCATAATAATGAAGAAAATGGGTTACCAAACATGAGTAATGTAGAATCTTTGTACATGTAAGGGAAAAGATGTACCTTGAGGGAATGACTATGAGGTATTTATATGCTTCTTCATTCACTGCTCTGATATTCAACATCTCTCTCTCCCAAGCTTGGGGGTATGTGCTTGTGGCAGCCCTCCACATCAAATTCTTCAATATCTGACCAGAAAATCTTTTCCTAAAGTTAGCATAAAGGTGTCTGATGCATAATCTTTGTTCTGCCCTAGGCAAAAGCTCTTGGATAGCTGGCACCAACCCCTGCCAACATAAATTTTTTAATCAAACATACATGATTAATAAAGTATGAATAATAAAATAATTTAAGTAGTGCATGCACCTTTTGCTGGTCAGACATCCACGTGTATGCCCAACAAACTTCATTGCCCCCAAGGTCTTCAACCAATAATTGCAAAAATCAGGACCAACTATATTTATTTTCGACTTCAACTACTGCATATGCAAGGAGTAGCATTTGCACATTTGGGTCCCTCCCAACAACAGTAAACAACTCTCCCTTATAAAGGCCTTTCAAAAAACAACCATCTAAACAGATGATGGGCCTACAACTAATAAAATTGTCCTTACATGCTTTAAGACAAACATAAAATCTCTCGAATATGGACTGATCATTATCACTATTCACTTTAACCTTAACCGTTGACCCTGGGTTACATCTCAATACCTCATGTGCGTAGTCATAAATCCTTCGAAACTGTTCTTTAAAATCCCCTTCACGTTAACTTGATGCCATTAACTTTGCCCTTCTTACTTTCTAAATTGATACATTGGTGTTCCATTTCCTTAATGCTTTAGTACGTATGTCTTGGACTCTTATACTAGGATTCTCATGTAAAGACTTATCTATTTCATGACTCAACCACTTAGTATTCATCATTTTAATGTTCAATTTCCTGCTGCAAGAATGAACATCACCAATCTTCCTTAACTGCCAAATCTTGCGTGATGGCAAATACCCACAGTAAGCTACCCATGGACACTTTTTTGTCCACCCATGCATTTCACCTTTACCCTACGGTTATCATTTTTTACAAACTTAAGAACCTTCCCAGCATGAATAGCATAGCTTATAATGGCTTCCTTAAACTCATCCTTATCAGTAAATATAGTACCAAGTTCCCATTTGTAATCTGACATTGACTTCTTTTTCCCATATGTAGGAAAGGAACCTCTACTTGGTCTGTCCTTAGTGTCATCCTCCTCACTTCCACTATTTTTTGGAGTTAGCAGCACATCTGACTCCCACATCATCTGACAACCCCCTACCATGTCCTTGTGCTTCGTTATCACTGTCTTCCATCCTGTATTATGAATCACTGTTGTCCAAACCAATACTCAAATCTCCTGCCTCCTCCAAGTTTTCTTCACCAATAATATGTGCTTCATCCTCAGTATCCACTTGCACTTCTTCCTCACTGTGCAGTTCTACTTCTTCCTCCACTACACCCACTTCCTCCACCTCCACTGAACCTACTCCCTGCACCTCCACTACACCCTTTTGGTTAACCTCCACTTCAAACACTTGCTCCAACCCAGTACACCATCCTGCTCCACCTCCACGCCACCCTCTGTGTTAACCTGCACTCCATCATCTCTCTCCAAGTCACGAACACAGTCAAGAGGACCTTCCTCAACCTCCTGTTGCACTTCAACAGGACCTTCTACACCAATCTTAACCCCACTACCCTCACCATTCTCTGCAAGCCCTTGGCAAAGGTAAAGAATTTCATTCTCATTTTCTACAACCACTGCTTCGCTCACTTTATGTACAACATGCAAGTTGACTTTCCCCAACAATTTTCCCACATTCATCATGTTCATAGCTCCTTTATCGTCATATAGCTTATGTAAAACATGTTGAATATTGTAATATAACTCTTCTACTTCAATGTAACCCAAATCTTTAAGTGAACCTACTACTCCAAAATAACTCCATGTATCGGGGTCAATGTCCCAATAACATATCTCCCCACCTATATACTTAAAGGGCACTTCCTTTATCAAGGTCCCACCGTGGTGGATCATTACCTCAAACCTATCGTTAGACATCCCTACCCTGCAAATGGAAAGGGGGACCACTCAATTAACTTAAATTAACACCCATGGGACCAATTTCAACACCCAACGCCACTACTTTTTCCATAAACCCTCAGCACGCGACAAATATAATAATATTTTAACCCATTCCACCCATTACAAAACAAATATAGAATACACCCATTAAAGACGACAAACATCATGAATGAAAGTAGTTAATAATGCGATCAGTAACTACACCAACAACATAAGTAAGAAGACTAACCTCACTAGCGCTGATGAACGAACCACACTCTTCGACGAACCACGAACGCGATTTCACTAGGAATCTAACTCTGGATTGTTGAACCCTAAATCACCCCGAAATTGCGAGTTGATTTTATCCCAAATGTAATATTACTTCAGTTAATCCTAATTTTATTTTAACCCTATCTTTTACATATTCCACGTCATTTTAAATTATTTTATTTTAACACATATAATGAAGTCACAGTGCCACCACAACAAGAACTGTACAACTCATCAGTTTTTTGCCAGTTGGACAGCTTTGTCGTTAGTCTTTTTAACGCCGTAAGCAAAAAGGACTAACGTGCACCGTTTTTGTGAAAAGTAGGATGTTAGTGAACTTTTGAAAAAAAGAAAGACAACTTTGAACAGACCCTACAAATTGAGGGACCAAAATAGGTATTAAACCTATTATTAAAAATGTTTAATAAAAGTATTGATTTTAATGAAAATATTAGTGTAAACAAATTTTTTTCCATTCGAAAAGACGTGAAATTGTTTCATTCAAAAATAATAATTATGATTAAACTAAGACAAAATAAAAATATAGAGATTAATTTAAGACAAATGTGATGACATTTGGCATTATAGTGATACGTAGCATTGTTACTGTCACATTACACCGTTATTGTCATATCACACTGTCATATGATATCATGTTAGTTTGACAAATTACAAAATTTTATTTAAAAAAATAAAAAATATTTTTTTAAAAAATAAAAATTAATTTTAAAAAAATAAAAATTAATTTTTTAAATATATTAAAAATAATTATAAAAAGATGTGACATCTCTTTAATCAGAACCATACTAATAAGAATGACCTTATTGCATCAAAAATTTCAAAATAAAAACTAAATTGAGAGCATAAAAAAGAAAGTTATTTGAGATTTTTCTAAACATGAAAATGAATGACATCATTTAACAAAATTTAAAACTTTAAATGTTAAGCCTGAATTGGAAAATTTGAGCATTTGACGGTTACATTTATTCAAAAAATGGTATGTTTAATTTGAGTGATATCAGCTATTACATGAAAGCTTTACCATATAAATATTGATTGGTACATTTTAGACTTGCTAATTTAAGAAGATTGACTTGTTTGAAAGTGGATCTGGATTTTGGAGAATCATGCCAAATTGCAAATTCTACAGAATTTGTCCAATGAATGGAATTCCATCTAGTGAAGTTCTTCTAGATAATTAGTCTTGCTTTTAGAGAATAACCCTCATAGATAGTCACTTAATTAATTTATTATATTAGTTACATATAAATATATTCTTTTTTATGATATAATTGTGATGTAAATCTTTAAACAATTGAAAATAATGACTTCAATTTCTATGCATGAATTAGTTTATTTAAGAGGTTTTACAACTAATACCTTAGTTAACCATATTATATGGTTTATATTATATGTTTAAAATATTAAACATAATTAAAATAAAATAACTATTTTTGTACTATGTTGTCTAAAAATATAAATAATTAATGACATATTGTAATTTTAATCCAGAACAATCTTCTCAATTCATCCTATTAAAAATTTTAATGGACCAATTAAAATGAAAATTATATTAATACAATAAAACATTCTTTAATATATAAATAAATATAGATAAATAGGTAGATAGAGATATATTAAAATTAAAATTTCGTGGGATAAATAGGGAATTTTATGCAGGTATTTCCTTTTCTCTTCATAACAAACTTGCACTACTGTAAATTGAAATATTCAATTTGAAGTCTGATGGAATTTTCACTTTTCTCGTTCTCCCCTTTAAAAAAAATCTCAAATTATACTAATTTAATACATTATAAAATAATTTAACTACTTCAAGTTAAATAATAAAATATTAATGAAATGTACAGGATTTTAAAATCCGGAAACTAAAATAATAATAAAAGAACACCTGATAAGACCTGATTTTAAGATAGTTCAAGCAAAGGTAAAAGAAAATAAAAATGGTAAAAGAATAACACTGAGCAACAAAAAGAAGAAATACATTTCTTCTTTGTTGACACTTGATCGAACCTGAAAATTCAGAAAGTGTAGTTTGAGTTTACAATCGATTCAGTCAAGGAGAATTGTTTGGTGAAAGAAGCGTTTTCTTCAGATCTCACAGGTGGAGAGCGATGGAATATCTAGGGATTGATCTTAGCTGCGCCGTGGGATCGCTCCGCCACGGCCACTTTCCGGAGAAGGATTGCTTGCTCCCTCTCATTTCCAAACTCCTCGGTTACGCCATCGTCGCCGCCTCCACAACCGTCAAACTCCCTCAGGCACTAATCGTTAACCGTTTCATTATTTGTTTCTTCGTTTCTCATGTTCCGTTCATTGCTACTTAATACTACTACTCCGGTTGTGTCAGTGTTAGGGTTTTGTTTGATAAATGTTGTTCTAAGCATGTTTAACCTCTTTTAGCTTATAGTAATTTAACGAGGATGTTCAATTCGGAAGCACAGTGTTCGTTACGCTATTATCGTTTAATGTTCAGATTATGAAAATTCTGAAGCATAAGAGTGTGAGGGGCCTTAGCATGATCTCCTTTGAGCTCGAAGTTATCGGATACACCATCGCGTTGGCTTACTGTCTCCACAAAGGTCTTTCATTCTCGGCTTACGGAGAGTTGCTGTTTCTTTTGATCCAAGGTGTGCTAACAGTTTTGGCTTAATTTTTGGTTTCTGTTCATTCTTTGTGCAGAACTGATACGTAGTGTGAAGTTGCCTTGTGTGAGTTGGGCGAGATTATGGTGTGTTTAAGTTTATGCAATGTTGTTTGGAGTTTGTCATTAAATAAGCACTTTCACAAGTTGCTCTATTTGGGTCTAACAGGTCCTGGGATAAACAAAATCACTTGTTAGTTTTAAAAATAAGCTATTTTCTCTTATTTTGTGATGCAGGGCGGGTAGGAAAGAAAGTAATTAGTAGCTGGGTTATGGTTGTATCCCTAGATGTTTTATTTTAGTGCCAAGGATAACATTTTGGGAATTGGCTTTTTGCTAGTTGTCCTTAGTAAGTTATATTTTAATAATTGTAATTTGAAATTCCTATTAGATGTAGGCTGAATGATCACATAACGTGAAAGGCTTTCGTTTGTACTATAAATCTGAACTTGCCTTTGTAGGAATATATTTTCCTTAAATATTAAATACAAAATCATTTTGAACTTTTTATTTCTTAGTATGTTACACCAGAAGAGCCAGTCCATTGATTACATTTGAATCTTTCTTAAAGTTTCTTTGCTTTGTAGAGTCCTATCTATAATTTTTTGTCCTATATCATTTTGTTCATGATTTTGTCTAACTCTAGACACTAATACCGAAATTAGTACTTGCACAGGTATCATAGACTTTATATCATGCTAGTTGTACTGATCTATCTTTTGCTGGGTATAGCTATGTTGTTCTTCCATTTTCTTCAAGTTATCTAATTTCTTCCTCTCTATTTTCTGAAACAGCTATAATATTGGTTGCTGTAATCTACTATTACTCTCGACCTTTGAGTACAATAACATGCATCCGGGCATTGCTGTATCCTACTGGCTCGAGGAAGAACTAGGCTTTTATTCTTGTGTTATGTGATTCAATCAGATATTCTTGATCATTTCCTTGATGCATTGGTTTTCAGATATTCTGCTATAGCACCCACTATCTTTGCTGGTCAAATTGATCCTTTCCTCTTTGAAGCTCTGTATGTGAGTGACAACTTTTTTTTTGCTAAAGTAGTTGTTAATTATGTTGTTTTACAAATTTTAGAAAGCTGATTTTTGGTGTACCTAGGTGAAGGTTAAGAGTCATAGGCTGAAGCCCTTATCTTATTCTAGCTGAGACAAAACATTGATTCTTTTTGGCCATCCTCTAAATTCAATTTAGTATTAAAGTGGGTAAGATCCTGCATTGTCTTCTCCCCTTACTTGTTTGGCTACTGTCCACTGCGTCCACCACCTCAACCAATGTATTTTAGTCTGACAATCTTAGGGTCTGGTCTGCATCTCAAACCAAGAAGTTGCGCGGCCTAATACTCAGTCACGCTCTTCCATGCACAATTCTTCTCCAAAAAGCTATCGTGTGTGCGTATCACTCACATGTTGAAATCCTGCCAAACCACTTCCACAAACTTTCTAAGCATCTTCTAGGCATGTTTCTACCCATGTTTCATCATTTTGACAAACTTGATGTTGTTGAGTACATTTGGCTTGACCTCTTCTACCTTGCGTCTTTGTTATGACCTTCATTCCATGTGCTCTATCTTTGAAATAGTCTCTTAAGGTCATGTTCTTTCTTTTTCTGGTACCTGCATAATTTCAACTGCAAAACTCAACTGGAAAAATTACTTGGTTTGGTCTACTTCAATGGAGTTGTGATTCCATGGTCAAGAATACCATGACCATTTGGCGAAGGTGGCTAGTGATATTCCCACTAAAAATAATAAATCTCAGTGGCAAAAGCTTGACTTTCAACTATGTTTTGTCCAATGTTCCAGAGATACTGAGTTCCTTCATGACACATTTTTGGAAAAGCCCCAAGATGTTTTTGCTAATGACATTCATCATCCCTTTGATGCAACACAAAAGTAGTCTCCGTCAAATAGACCAACCATGATATGGTCTCTCGTCTAGCAAAAGTCCAGGTTATATTAGAGAAATGAATAAATAGATTTGTTGTGGCTGACTCATTGTAGTATATTAAAACAAAAACTTGAAACGTTATACGTGGTTCTAATTTTGAGAAGTTCACATTCAAATTTCGATCTTGTATGTGATCAAATTGTTGCTAGTGATCAAATTCCTTTTGGATAGCCTAATCACTCGACTTCAAAAAGGATGTAAAGATAACTAACAATTCAGAACGATTTTTCATAAGATAAACCCAAGTACATCTTGAATATTCATCAATAAAGGTAACAAAATATCTAAAACCAAAGGAGGAGATACGACTAGGTCCCCATATATCAGAATGGATGATGGAAAAACTAGAATTACATATTGATTGAGACCTTTTAGGAAAGGAAGATCTAACATGTTTTCCTAATTGACATGACTCACATTCTAAAGTTTGGAGACCACTAAGTTCAGGACACATCTTTTTTAATTTGGACAAATGAGGATGGCCAAGTCGATCATGTAGCACTTTAGGATTAGGAGCAGCAACACAAGACACCCTTGGACGAGATCCAAAATGGTATAATCCGCCAGCTTCATATCCTTCTCCAATCTGTCTCCCCGAACCACGCTCCTGTATAACAAAAGATTTATGATCAAAGGTTATTGAACAATTTAACATTTTAGTCAACTGGCTTAAGGAAATTAAATTAAAAGGACAATTAGGGACAAAAAGGACTGAGTTGAGATTGAGGGAGGGAGACAAAGAAACATGACCGACTCCTTTGGAAGAAGTTTTAGATCCATTTGCAAGGGTTATGAAATGAGGTTTTTCTCGAAAGGAAATAGATGAGAACAAAGAGGTATTACCAGAAATGTGATCAGAAGCACCTGAGTCAATTACCCATGAATTTTGACATTCCATAGATTGAGAAACGCAGGCGGTTGATGTATTGGGAGATTGAGATGGTTGTGCCAAGCTGTTAGACTTTAACCTTAAATACTCTTGATATTCATCCTCAGAAAACATAGAAGTGGAGGTTTCAGTTTTCGAAGTGGAAGTTTCAGTCTTCGAAATATTGGCGGTTTTGGAAGGGAAACCATGTAAGGAGTAGCAATTCTCTTGAGTATGACCCATCCTTTTACAATATGTGCATTGAGTACGTCCCCGACCTCCTC